GCTCCGGATAGTTCGGTTGTTAAGGTAGCTTTGAATCTGGTATACACTTTCGTTAAGAACTTCAGGTTTAAAGCAGAACACTACTTTGAGACCATCAGCGTACAAGTATGATCTCCCAAGTTTTACGGTGTTATATATATCGTTTATATACATAGGAAACAATAGTGGACCTAATACACTTTACTAGATGACTCCATTATTAAGTGGTTTCGGTGATGAGATTCATTGCACTTTACCGTTTGTTTATGTTTTTTTAAGAACGAAGCAAACTATGGGTATAGTGGGTTGTTGATTCCAAAATTCTTTAGATTGACGAGAAGTCTTTAATGTGGGACCTTATCTAAGACTTTCCTAACGTCTAAGAATATGTATGTACATTTTATTTCCTAAAAAGTCCAAAAACTCATTGTGCGAAAAAATTTTTGTACGTTATCACATGTTAACAAAATGCATTCATACCAAATTACCTTTCTTTTTCGCACATTTTGTCCGTACTCACGTACGTGTATTTCAACATTTATTTTCAATCTCTTTTTTATTTGCCGGGACGGCTGGAAATGATGAAAATTAAGAGAAATCTTCGTTGGACATTTTTTCATCGCCTTATAGTATCACATGGCTTCTTATAATAAGAAAAGACGACCAGACGCTGCTGAACATTGTAAGCTATCAGAAGAGTGTTTAATAACGACATACTAATTGGGTTTAAACTTCTGATTGGCCATGTCTTAAGTGTATCACTACCTCACTAAGATAGGGGAGTGATCTGTAGTTGTAAATATGTCCCCGAAGTAAATAGTTCTGCCAGACTTCGACATTGATATTGACCTCATTTTTCCACTGGACTCACCAAGATTCAGGCAGTCGGTCACGCATTCGCACTAGATCACGCATGGGTACACTGTGCTATGCATCCCCTTCGACTGTTAGTCAGAATAGACCAAACGCTCCTCGACATATCGATAATCCTCTAAGTATATCTTCGAACTCCTCCGCTTTCGACTTCTGATTTGGCTGAGTCGATATACTTTGAACATAAAGGTGTTACTGGTAAAGGCATTGTCAAACTTCGATTACCTGCGGCATCTTTAGGTCAAACAAGCTACAAATCAATCCGTTTGAAAGAAATTATCTGAAATCAATACAGACCAAGTGGTTTCGTCAAAGATTATGTAGCGTGTGGTGTCTTCGGTTAACTGAATGCCCAGAGGTTGATAAGGTGAGTGCGAGACATGAGATTATCAGTGTGAGCAGTGGTCTTAGTCAAACGGAGCATAACTCGCGACCTATTTCTATGCTAATGGTATGAGCTCTCATTCAGTATTTGTATAAATACGACAATGATGCTTTCAGTTTTTAGGGGAATCGCATACCTGCTTACACTTATGATTTGCACAAGTGGCTGTCGTCAAAACCTGAATCAAACTGATAGTTACACAGCACTTACTAAGGAACCTAGTGATAAGAACCTGTTTTGGAAACATCAGTTTTAGATGAAGATAACTGCGAGAAAACGACACTATTTGCGGAAATATTTGTCAGTCAGATTATCGACTGATTTATTTCCTAGTTTTGTCGCTCATATCAGCGATGATGTCGAGAAACCACTGTGAATAGCTATTTATAGTCTTGGTTTGGCATTAGCTATGGGAAAAGAGGTAGTGTTGTTATAGACGCTGAAAACTTTTGATGGTTCAAAATACATCGGTTGAAGTATGAGCTAACTCGGTATTTGTACTACTCTAATAATTGGCGTAATCCCAAAATTGTAGATTTATTATGGTGGGACTACTTGATCTTTAAGATCTTACGCGGAAGTCACATCATTGTCTACACTGACTCGTCGTATCGTAAAAGACGGCAATACGATGTTTGGCACTCCAGACGGGCACATTTGGGCTGAGGAAAAGTTAACATATTTAATGAGGAAAGGTATGAATTACACGAGAATGACATCTGAAAGGCTGAGCCATACCAGACCAGTAACGACCTCCTTCAATGCTACACGTCAAATGTCAATCTTCTCAGTGATTATATGTTCAGCTTTGAGAATCGTGTAGTTAGTGACCAGTACGACTACACGTTCACGTTTATTGATTCGATGATGTCATCAATTAGACGTTAAAAACAGTGGTTTGAATAACGCTAATGAATCTGAGTTACCTGATTATATTAAAAATCATGTTGCATAAATATTCGTTAATCTAGTGCATAACCTTTATAGGCATATAAAAATGACGATGAAAGTTACTAACAAGTGTCGAACTATTGCTGAATTAAAATGCATCGTTTTAAATACACATTTTATCGGTAGTATATTGTCGTTTGAAACCATGGAATGTCTTATATCAAAAACGAGTTTGTATGTGGCTTCAGTGATTATATGTATATATGAATAGTCTAGATGAGTTTAAGTGCTTCATGGTATAAATATTGTTACGTCCAAGTTTTTGCTCGTTCCCGTTATTGAAGTACAGTATATCGATCTATTTGCAATTTACGAACGCAAATTAACAATAGAACCAAACTCCAATTTAGATACCAAAGTTTATTTAAAATTTACAAATAGTCGACCCAAATGTCGTTCCTACAACAATAATTATAATAATTACAGAACAAACCTTCAATTTCGTAGGTTACCGGAGCAAAAACTCTCAAATACCAAACCAAAGACAAAATAAACCGAAATGTCCGAAACTAATGAAGTTGAGTAAAACAAATACATCGAAAAACGCACTGAAATGAATAATATTTAATATAAAGGTTTTAATCAGCCAAATGTCTTCAGTCCTCCCGTAACAAGTACTATAAACATAATAGATCATCTGGTGAACTAGAGACACTCGCCTGAATTACTTTCAGAATTCATCGTTATTGTGAGGGTTCATTGCTTGGATTTACAGTAATTATTCTAAGGGATTTTATTCAGTGATTTTACCAGACTTTCTAGTAATGGAAAAATATAAAACAATGACTGATTCCACTAGCATAGCTTGCTCACACCCCTTACCTCAATCAAAGACTCTTCGTTCCTTTGTAACTTACCCCTGCTGATATGGCGTTTTCTCGACGGATTGTGTGGGGTTAAATCACTTATGTAATTAGTATAAAAAATTAATATGACATTCAGACACAAAAGGTAAATGATCTGAAGAAGGGCAGGTAAGATATTACTGAAGAGTACTGCTGTGTTGTACTATTATTTTGAAAATACCAGTAGAATGGTACGTGTAAAACCATCTTTTTTGTTTTGGTTATTTAAATAAACACACAGAATTTCATAAACCAAAGGTTTAGTAGATACAAATTTAAATTTTAGGCTTGACCCAAAACTGTAGATACCCCTATTTGAGTAAACAGCCGTGCCCATCCAAACGTTTTGGTCACCTGTGGAGAATTCTAGCTGTTGCTTGTCAATTCTTAAACTATTTTGTCAGGTGAACAGTCTAATAAAACGTATGGTGGTTCGTTATGTAAATAAGCCGGTTTTAGCCTATCAGTGCTTACTGAGTCTGTGTTTCCATGTTTATGTACTACGAAATGTTTAAGTTTTCTCGGGATAACTTTGTATGGACCTTAGAATGGAGAGCCAAGTGGTGCTTTTATTTTGTTACACCTCATCCAAACGTGCGTGTAAATACTTAGGTCTTAGGGTACAAGTGCTGCTTACAACTGTTCACGAGCATTAATTTGTTTAAGTTCGGTTCTTTGGCTCCGCAGACGGTCCACGTAACTTTCCAAGTCAAGTTTATTGCATTCAGGTCAAGGATTGATTAGCTCATTTGATAGTATCAGAGTTGTCTTGAAGACTGACTTGGGTTTGAGTGTGATATTAGAGAAGCCTTTAAATGACGGTGGAAACGTTCTGTTATCCCACTAGCCTAAGGATGATATACAGTGTAACGTATTCTGTTGGAGCTCAAAATTTTAGATAAGTTGTTGGGTAGTTCAGATTCAAATCGAGTTTCTTTGTCTGTTGTTGTTGCAATAGGTTTACCAAAATGGTCACCCAGTTATGTATAAAAACCTTGGCCACTGTTTCGGCCGTGATGCCCGTTGTCGGTATGGCTATGGGAAGCCTCGTGAAACGATTTATAGATGTAAATAGATAATTAAAACTATTGGAACACAGTAACAGACCTTTTAAATCTGCATGAGCATTGACGGTTAGCCTCTGATTGTTGACAAGGCGAACACTGTCTAATCCATTTTTCTGCATCGTTTTGTAAACTTGGTCATGTGTATCTCGCATTGATTGGTTTGGTAATAAATTTCGAGGCAGCATGAGACAAAACACGAAAGTTGTCAAATATTATTTCTTGCGTACTTTTGGGGACGAACGGTCGAAGCATCGCCTTGGTCGACACGCAGTAAATCAAACTACCTGATGGCATCTGTCTTATTTTGAATTTAGTGTGCTGGAAATGCTAAGTGGTTAGGGAAATTACGAGCAATTCTTGTCTGAAGGTAATAATACCTTGTCTCTACTGGAGCGAGTTTTTTTGAGAACTCACTCGGTTTCCAGCAGTTTTCAGACAGTTGATCAAGGGTGCCACCTACTGCTTTGTTCGAAGCATCATCCATCAATGTAAGTGAGAAATGGGAATTCGGACGCGTTGGCGTGGATGCTTGAGCCAGTTTCTTATTTGGCTGTTTAACAGCTCCAACAGCCTTAGAAGTCAGGTTAAATTCTTTTGTTTGCCGTCATAGGAATCTGTCAAAAGTTACACTGAGCACAACTATATGTGGATCTACAACAAAAGTTAACTAAATTTAGAAAACTCATATGATGTGCTAGATAACTTGGTATGGAATATTCCCTAATGATGCCCTCTTCTTCTTTTATCATTGTAATCCCTTATTATGTGTCCTAAAAATTTCGGAGTTTGCACATTTTAAACAAATATAATTTTGGGACCCATGAGTTGTGTTACTGCATGAAGTAATATACATTTATGGGACCCATTTGTTTTAACTCATTGGTCTCGTATCATCCCCTCACTTTGGGCGCTTACTCGGTTGTTGTCCGAAGTATGGTTTTTGTTCGCATTGATTTGTTGTTTGTTTGGTAATTGATTCCTCATATGTCATTTGATATTATATCTCGAATTCCCTCCCACCGTTAAGTGTTCGCTATTTATTTCTCGGCATTTTCGTCTTTATATATCGTACATTTTAGCCATCACTGTAACTATAGTTACAGTAATAGTGATGAGAGGCATATATTAACTTCGTCTGTCCTATGGGGTTAGTAATAAGGTATACAACGCCTCTCAGTGTCTCTACTTTTTCGCGGCTCCTATATATCTGTGTTTATGTACCTGTTTCTTATTCCGCAAGTTCGTCATTGGCTCCCCGAACTCCCAACTTTGGGGAAGCCGCTATAGTAAACTTTGAGGAAATGGCACCAAAACCCAAAAATCCCCCAGGTCTGGTGGAATTCCCCAATATTTCCCCCAAATTCCCCTTCAACCTTGGTGAAGGTGATTTGACTTTGGGGATTTCCCCAAAAGTTCTCCAAACTTGGGAGATTGGGTCAATGTGTTTGTGGCTCATCTTGTCCCAATCTCTGTTTTGGGGAAAACGCTACAGAAAATCTTGGGAAATGGCACTAAAAGCCCAAAATTTCCCCATGTCTGGGGAAATCCCCAAAATATTTGGGGAAATTGGGGGGTTTCCTCAATATTTCTCCAGAATCTTATGACGAAGTTTTTCCCCAGGTCTTGCATTGTCTTTACTTTTTAATCGTTTGAGTAATGAGTATGTTTATGCCGAACCTTTGTTCTCCCTCTACTCTTATTTTAACTGATTTAACTACTGTTCAACATAATAAGTACTGTTTACAGCGTTTCCACTCCCATGGGATAGCAGCACTCACTTATCCGAACCAAAACCTTTGAAGGACCATCCGATTTACTGGGGCCAATTCCACCGTCATCGGATGCCGCTAAGGACCTGACATTATACCTTAACACAAAAGTGAGCCCACGAAAATCAATTGCTTTACGTTGGTTCATCACAAACATTCTAGATTTCATACAGAACGGAATTAAAAATAAAAACTAAATATTAGTAAAATAATTAGTATCGGGATTTAAAATTTGAATTTAAGGCCAGGAATTGAAGTAAGCGTTCTTATCACTGACTGACACCAAATATAGTAGAAAAATGCCATTTAACCTTATGAATGAATGAACCTCGCGCCAAAATATAAAACTTGCCATTCTTAGTTTCATTGGTTCGTTCATAAATGCAGTCTCGCTAGACTTTCTTCTGATCTGAAACCAATGCCTTAGTGGTTCAGTTGTTTATGCCTTTCGATAAAGGGATCCCTTTCGGCCCCCAAATGCCCTGGTACGGCCGATAGTGGGGAGAATCTGCTCTCCCTCTCGAAATGCTCTCACATGGCCACGCGTATGTAGCCTCTGCTAGGGAAGTCTTACTCACCGCCTTCTCGTGGAGGGGGTGTTGTTTACGGAATTGAGAGGACGAAAAGCGGATGTCCAGCGCTTTAACCGGGTTGGTGGATATAGGGAGTCCACGTAGGGGAGTTGTAAAACCCTGGTTCCAAACCAATGGTGCACAACGGCTTCAGTACCCTGAGGGAACAAATGGTATATGAACCAATCGTTGGTCACCGGCTACCATGGGACTGCATCTCCTTACGATGCTCCACTGTCTTGTGAATCGGACCTTTAGGTCGAAGGCTCCGGGTGTGGTCCCCTGAGAAAACCACCTGCTTCGGTTTGGGCACCTGGCTAGTATCACAGCCCTCACACAAATCAAATGAGATTTGTGTTGCGCATATGTATCTGGTGCCCCATTGTACCAGTATTTATGTGTTCAAATAAATAAATAAACTATCCCACTCGGTCATTCATTGTTCTGATCATCACCAAACGTACCATGAGCATTTCCCACTGGAGGTGGTTGGAAGAAAGTTAGAGGCGGTCAAACCAAAACATGGCATCGGCGCTTGAAGTCACTAACTTCTAGTCTTAGCCATGTTGGTAGATGCAGACTACTTGGTTGGGGTCCGCGTGACTATCGTAACCAATGGTTGCAGACTGTGTGACAAGACTCAGAATCGATCACAATGGCGTCTTTGTATACACTCTCTTCCCTTAAACTATGAGGTTAAAGTCGCTTCATATCTTTATTCCTACGAACTAATTATCTCTTCCTGTACTATATCCTTATACAAAATCTTTCTTTTATATATTACCACCATTGAATTAATTGCTTCTATGAATCCGGTGTTCATCTCACTGTGCTAATGAAGTGTGGCAACTTGGATCGATGCATATATGTCTGGTCTTACGTTGTAGCTGAATAACTCCACTGTTTCGTACTGTGGTATTTCACATTAGCGTAAAGTACCAGTTCAAAACCCCAAATGGGCTTGATAAGCTCTCAAAAAGCGATTCATGAAAGTGGCAATTTGACGTTTCGTCGAAATCCACCCGATTCAATAGTTGTGTGTGTTTAAAGTCCTTGGTCTTTGATAATTTAGAATGCCCTGGTACGGCCGAGAGTGGGGAGAGTCCGCTCTCCCTCTCGAAATACTCTCACACGGCCGCGCGTATACAGCCTCTGCCAGGGAAGTCCTACTCATTGCCTTCTCGTGGCATTACTGTTGTTTACGAAAATGAGAGGACGAAAAGCGGATGTCCGGCGCTTTAACCGGATCACAAATCAATGGTGCACATGGGCTCCAGTATCCTGCGGGAACAAATGGCGTATGAACCAATCGTTGGTCACCGGCTACCATGGGATTGCATCTCCTGGCGATGCTCCACTGCCTTGTGGGTTAGACCTTTAGGTCAAGGGCTCGGGGAGTGGCCCCCTAAGATAACCACCTGCTTCGGTTTGGGCACCCGGGCAGTATCACAGCCCACACACAAATGATGAACTCTCTATGCCTATGGAAATTACTTTTCTCGCTTCGAAAAACAATCAATTGATTCAAATTATTATCATTACAATTATTGTCATTATTAATGCTATTATTATTACTACTATTATTGTCATTATTATTATTATTATTATTATTATTATTATTATTATTTTCCACATTATTCACCCTCTTTTATACTTATACAGCGGCTCGTCTTTGGTGGAAATTCAACTGTATCTAAACGTTCTCGAGTCACTATCCGGTTGAAAATTGTATGTTACCACCGAATACGAGAACTGAAGCAGTTTATCTGAAACCACGTGCATCATTCAAACTGGCTGCCTTCAACGTTCGCACATTTATGCAGGTCGGACAACAGATAGGGCTATGTCTTTGGAAAGTCTTAATATTGATGTTTGTTGTCTATCCGAGACCCGTATTCAAGACTCTGGCGAAGTACTACAAATTCGATCTCCATCTGTCGCTTCGAAAAGCTTGTTTTACGTGCACTTATCCGGGGACCCTGTGGCATCTTCGTCTGGTCTTGCTGGCGTTGGTGTCGCACTAAGCGCTAGAGCTGAGGCAGCACTAGTTGATTGGGTCCTCATTAACAGTCGGTTATGTGCTGTTAGATTAGAAAGTTCCACCAAAGTGCGAAGAAACCGGCGTGAGAAACGATGTTTTTTCGTCATCTCCGCCTATACCCCGACAGATTGCAGCCCGGATGCAAACAAGGATGAGTTTTACCACCAGTTATCTGTTCTTCTCCAGAAAGTGCGTTCGACAGATATTGTGGTACTAGCCGGAGACTTGAATGCTCAGATCGGGCGTCTAGACACAGAAGAGAGTCGTTTAGGTGGCCGATGGGGACTCGTTGGTCGCAGGTCAGATAACGGGGACCGTCTACTGCAACTTTGCAGACCACAACCTGTTTCTGGCTAGCACTAACTTTCGGCACAGTCATCGCCGATGTGCCACCTGGCGTCCTCCCTCTGCATCTCAAGCCTGGACTCAGATTGATCACATCGCGATCAGCTACCGCTGGCGTGGTTGTGTACAAGACTGCCGCTCCTTTTGGAGTACCTATCTGGACTCTGACCATGCCTTGGTCTGCGCCAATCTTGCCTTACTTTTCAGTGGACAACGAAGTGACAGCCATCAACGGATTGATATTAGCAAGCTGGTTGCAACTTCTGTTCCAAGTAAGTATCGAACCGAGCTAGCCTCTAGGCTAGCTACCACTCCACCGAAAAGTATAGATGAGCATTGGTTGCAATCGCATGACGCCATGAAAAATGCGGGTACAGTCAATTGTGGGTTCGCGAAACGTCCCGCTTATAAGCACTGGGTTTTCGCAGGTTCCTTACAACTCATTGAAGCCCGTCGGTCTACTCCGGGTGACCGTGAGTTTGACCGTAAACGAAGGGTGTTACGTAAGGAAATTGGGCAAAGCTTGCGTAAGGACCGAGAAGCCTGGTGGTCGAAGCGTGCTAATGAGCTGGAAGCAGCAGCTGCCTCTGGTAACTACCGGAAGCTCTTCCAACTCATCCGAGCCACTGGCAGCAAGAGGTCTGGTGTGAGTGAAACAATCTTCCAGGATGATGGGCAAAATTTTTTGAAGGGCAGTTCAACTGGCCTGCTGCTCCGGCAACATCGGTCAGACTGTCCTGCCCTCCATGGCCGGTGGCGATTGATCCACCAAATGAGGCGGAAGTCCGCAAAGAACTCCAACTGTTGAAGCGTTACAAATCACCTGGCCCAAATGACTTACCTCCGGCTCTTTTTAAAGATGGTGGTGACTTTCTGACTAAGGAACTGACGGCGTTGTTTACAATGGTTTGGGAACTAGAGAGTGTACCAACGTCATGGAATGAGTCGATAGTTGTCCCTATCTTTAAAAAGGGTTCACGTCGTTCCTGTAACAACTATCGGTGGATAAGTCTACTTCCGATTGCGTCCAAGCTATTGGCTTCCGTCATTCTTCGTAGGTTGTTCAAAACCCGAGAAAGATTGACTCGCGAGGAGCAGGCTGGGTTTCGTTCTGGTCGAGGATGTATTGATCATATCTTCACCCTCCTCCAAATGTTAGAACACCGCCATACTTATCAAAGGCCAACAATCGTAGTGTTTCTTGACATCAGGGCTGCCTTCGATTCGTTGGAAAGGGCTGTTCTCTGGGATTGTCTATTGAAGAAGGGTGTGCCTGAGAAGTTTATTAACATCCTAAAAGCCCTATATACAAACACCTCAGGCAGAGTGAGGGCATACAACCACCTCTCTCCATTGTTCCATTCGAGTAGTGGGGTTAGGCAGGGTCGCCCAATCTCACCATTCCTCTTCAACTTTGCCATCGATGACATTCTGGAAACAGCTCTGATGAATGTAAGTAATGGTGGTGTGGATCTGTTGCCTGGAGAAAGACCTCTCGACCTTGAGTATGCGGACGATATTGTCTTACTGTGCGATAATGCCCAAGGCATGCAATCCGCACTTAATCAGTTGACAATCAGTGTCCGTAGGTATGGTATGTGCTTCGTACCTTCTAAGTGCAAAGTACTTCTACAAGACTGGCAGGATTCTAATCCTGTACTCACCCTGGATAGTGAGCAGATAGAAGTAGTCGAGAAATTCGTGTCTCTGGGTAGCTGCATAAGTGCTGGTGGTGGCGTGAGTGATGAGATCGATCCACGTATTATAAAAGCCAGAGCGGCTTATGCCAATCTGGGTCATCTTTGGCGCCTTCGTGATGTTAGTCTGGCTGTAAAAGGTCGGATCTACAACGCGTCGGTGAGAGCAGTTTTGCTCTATGCTTGTGAAACCTGGCCTCTCCGAGTTGAGGATGTTAGAAGACTCTCTGTGTTCGATCATCGTTGTCTCCGAAGGATCGCTGACATTCAGTGGCAACACCATGTCAGTAATGCAGAGGTTCGGCATCGTGTGTTCGGGCACAGAGATGATAATTCAATTGGTGTCACCATCTTGAAACACCGACTTCGGTGGCTTGGACATGTTCTCCGAATGTCGTCCCAGAGAATTCCACGTCGTGCATTATTTACCGACTCTGGGACTGGTTGGAAGAAGCGGAGAGGTGGTCAGTGCATGACACGGTGTTGTGGTATGAAAGAAAGCTGCAAAGGACTGGCTTCTGTTGGTCCTTCACGACTCCCTGGTTGGGGTCTGAGAGATGGTGCAACACAGTGGCTAGAGACGTTATCAGATATGGCTCAGAATAGAAGCCAGTGGCGATCCTGCTGTAATCTTCTTTTACTTTCTTCATATAAAGTGGTTGTGTCTCCCTTACCTGAAAGATTTCTTCCGATTGTACCTTTGCGTTCCCTCATTACTACCACACTACCTTACACCAATCTCTTCGTTATTGTTCTTTTTTTTCTATTTCTCTTCGAATTTTCATTGTTTTGTGTGGCGCATATATATATATTAGCGCTCTCTTGTACCAATATTTATGTGTTCAAATAAAATAATTTAGAATACATACTGAAACCAGTTGGTGCTGAATGTTACTGTCTGTTCGTGTAGTATTTGGATTCAACTGAACAGCTACCCATTTTAATCAAAATAATGATAGCGACTACTGACTTATACGAAATACTAATCGCAATACCAGGTTGTCATGGCACGGTGCAGTACTCTTTTATTTGTAGTTAGGATGAAATATGCTTAATTTTGTCAAGAGGCTCTACAATTCCTCATTAGAATTAGGATACAGAATAAGTATATATTTACCCTTACTCAGAATCCGATTTCGAAAATAACTCTTAATCTTTATACTAGCTTGGTGTTATGTTTCAGTACCTTGATTTGCAATTGAAAGCCGGACGTTTAGCCATTCATGGCTCACCGAAGAACCAAATATTCTTCGATCCTAATACAAACGTTTTCGGAGCATGGATTATTTCAATAATGTTTTAAAAGCCATAAACAATTTCTCTGTTTTGTATTATAGGTCATTTTTTAGTAAAAACCTGATTAGCTACATATTAGTTTTAGTTTCTCAAATTGATTTAGAAGCCATCCAAGTTAATATTATTCTTTAATTCGACCGATGTGTTCATGTGACGATATCTACTTAGCACACTCAATGGTAATTTTCAAACCGAACAATAAAAAGGCTAAACAAATGATCGTGCACTATTACCTTGTGTTTTTGACCTTTTCGATCTTATTTTAGCATATTTACACTTGTAATTTCCCACAGCCTCAAAGTGTCCTGGTACGGCTGGGAGTAGGTAGAGTCCGTCTCCCTCTCGAAATACCCTCACAACCTAGGAAGTCCTACTCGGCCTTCTTGCGGTGGAACGAAAGAATGAAAGGACGAAAAGCGAATGGCCGACGCTTTAACCTGGTTGGTGGGTACGGTGTATAAATCTAGGGGAGTTGGAGAATCATAATTCCGAACCAAATTTTGCACATGGGCTCCAGGATCCAGAGGGGGCAAATGACGTGTGAACCTATGGTTGTTCACCGGCTGCCATGGGGCTGCATCTCCTAACATTGCTTCGTTGCCTTGTGGATTGGACCTCTATGTCAAAGACTCGGGGACTGGCCCCTAAGAAAACTACTTGTCTCAGTTTGAGCACTTGGGTAGTATTCGAGCCTCCACACAAATCGAATGATTTATGTGGCGCCTATTTGTACCAATAGATAATTCTTCACAAAGAGACTACTAATGACCCATGACTGAATATCCGTTTCTTCTTTCCATGTAAGACATTTGAAAATGTGAGTATCTTTATACTCGTACCAAGTTCATAATTGCTCAGAACGAGTTTCATAAACACAGAAAGTCTTTTACATATGAATGTTGTAGGGCTCACCACTGTACACATTATTTGCACACCAACCTGAATTCGCCATGAGACTACTGTCTTCTAACTTGGTACTTGAAATTCCCACCACGCATCTACTAAGTGATTAGTAAGGTTACTTTGCTCCCATTGTAAGACGTTCCTGCTCATTTTTATTATATAAACGAAGACTCAAAGTGTTCCAATATACACTCATTTTGCGAGACCGTTGAAACATTATCGTTTATTTTGTTTCGCTAGCTGCATGCCATGGTATTGTATCATGTGTTAACAGGTTTATATTTGTAATTGTTCTAGAACTTTTTTCTCTAAATATTGAACTTAAGTTGCATTCTTGTTTTCCGTCAATTTTTTTTATATATAAAAATATGCTTCTCATTTTTCAGATCTCAATAATTATCGTCCATGTGTGATCCTGAGGGGATTAAGTCATTTCTGTACACTTTCTTGCAAACTAAGAAACGCATAGCACCGGAGTATACTTTCATTGAGAAGCCCGTCGGTCGGAATAAGGTTAGGTTTCTTTGTGAGGTAAGTAGAGTTCTCTCCCTGTACCTAGTTATAGGCTCGGGCTGATGGCTACAATTACGTTGGAATAGGAAATTCTACAACAAAAAAAGAAGCTCAAACGAATGCAGCTAGAGACTTTGTTAACTACCTTGTTCGTGAAGGTGAAATCCCTGCATCTTCCGTTCCAACAATACAAGTATGTTGCATGTTTGTGTCTAAATTAGCAGCCTGGGAATGTCGTATATCCGGAATCTGCAAGCACATCTACATCTGAAAACTTTGGGCAAAGTTCTCAACAAGGAAATTCGTTAGGTTCTGGTGGTAGCTACATCAGTAGCATATACGACCAAAAGAAGTTGGAAGAGGTAGTGTTTGTATAACTTCATATTCTTTGTGTTAAGGCAGAAGAGGTGGATTTAACTTCTGATTTGCATGGTGGTTGGTCTATGGAAAACGCCAAGGCACGTCTAAATGAATACTTACAAGCAACTCGCCAGCAAGTGGGCCAAGTGAAATATACTTCAGTCGGTCCAGATCATAGCAGGTAAGACAGCGCCATATGGTGCTATTTGTGTAAATGTATTAAGTCGATATATTAGCTCGCAGTTATGACTCTTGTGACATCATATATTTATACATAGTGGCCAGGCGGACAGGAACGCTGGGTGACATAAGGAGCATTCAGTGCCCTGATCGCTTCTCCACTCAATTTCGCTTATATTTTAACGAATTGAGTGGTCTTGGCGATCAGTTGGCTCTGAGTGCTAATAAAATGATACATTCATTTGTTTACAGCTTGTATTCTTGGCCTTCGTAATCATCGTTCAACCGCAAGTTCAGTCGTAGTAGGTAAGTTCTTTTTGCTACAGGATAATTCACCTAATTATGCTAAATTAGTTACTCCAAATTAACATAAAGTTTCTTTTAAAATGTCCAAATAAACGCATTACTTTGAATCAACTGTTTAAAATGCTTACAGGAGTTACATAGCGGAGATGACTGTCTTGGCGAAAAATCTTCGGAAAACCCTGTACGCTCGGGAGGCGGGATCAAACAAACAACTAGCATCTCGTGCTTGTTGCCTATCATTGGTTCGGCAGCTCTTTCATGCAGGCGAATTGGAAGCATATACTGGCGAAAGACGAAAAAAGAAGCACAGTGAGGTAAGTTTACGCAAAGCTGTTTTTTATTTACTGTTATACACCGCGATGAATTCCTGTCCAAGATATTTATTTTTATGAAAGTCATGTTGGCAGGCTATCTTCTTCATGGTCTTTAATTCTCACGGTTCTTTAGTTATAGGGCTAAGTCAAGTTTATGATATGAAATAATTGGAACTGTTAGTGTCAGTGATAATGAGAACGATTAGACATTGAATAATATGGTACAAAAAATGAATAAATCGGATGAATAAAAATAAAAATAAGAATAAATATTATGGATACTCAAGACACGAAGATAATGAGTATATGCGTCAGTGTCGCTGATCGATTTTGAACTAAGTCACCCAACGTGTCCGACTCCGAATTGCAGTTATTGCTCTGTCAAAGTATATTTGGAAATTATGATGGGTTCTCGCTCGGATTCTGTCATAGTTCCCTACTCAGTCAAAGGCTATGAAATTATTTACTTCTGAAAACTAGATTCTTAATCTCTGGTTTGATTCATATAGTACTTGGTTTTAGAGTGTCGTACTTGATTTATAAAGTAATTTACAGATTCCATTTCGCTTGTTACGTAGTCTCATTTAGAATATTGACGCAATTCCAGATTGCGTCAATAGTCTCAATGAAAAAACCAATAGATGGTAAAGTTGAGTTATATATATATATATATATATATATATATATATATATATATATATATATAACAAAATACAGTGAAAGCAAACAAGTTCTTAAAAAAAATCCGAATCAAAATTTAGCTAAAAATTCCTGTTGGCGGGATATAGATTCAATCTAAGCATGTTCCTTGTAGGAGTGTGTTGGAGCAGGCTGATTGGTCATTTCTTAACCAATCAGCACGAATGGCTAATTAGAGAAGACTAGAATTTCAAATGTACTAAAGTTTTTCTTGTGATTTTTACTCCCATCCAACCTTGTTCATTTGGAGTATAATTACGTTCCTGTTCAACCGTGTTCTGATTCAGAGCGAAGTAGTGTCCGAAGAATACTAAGCAATAAGAGTAGCTGGGTCGTAATGAGAGATCATAACAGTCCAGAAATCTAGTTTCTACAATTCTAGCTCTCATGAACTTTATTTCGTCTTTGATTCATGTTACACAGTTGTAATTAATTATTTAATGGAGATAAACCGTTGATGGCACTTTTCCTGTTTTGCGTTTTCCGTGATTCACCAATGAAACAAAACATTTTAGCTGTTTATATCTGTATTAAGGTTGCAGTGCATGATGTCAATTTGAATTCAAAAGTTGAAGAAAATTTAACCGATGTGTTGGAAAATTTGGGTCTTCCCGTTAATTTGAAACCTACAAGTCTCCCACCAGATCAAGCTTATAATATGATTACCAATTACAACTTGGTAGACTTTGGTGATGCTCCTAAACAACAACCCCAGTTGGTCGCTTGGTGTCCACCACTCCCTAACTGGAATCCATGGACTGCTTGCAATATCGATGAAGGTCCAGAGGTAGGTTTTCATAAGAGATTATTGGTTATACTGAAAATAATATAATTTACGCTTGTTAGCATTATACCTATCAGTATAGCATTAAGAAACCAACCGGTTATCAGTAGGTCGTCCAAATCGACTCAATTGAAAAGCATCATTCCTCTCAAGGATTGGTAAAATATAATTAGTGTCCTTCGACGACTTAAAATGACCTTGTAAACGCAAATTCCACTGTGAGTCAATCATGTGCATGGTATAAATGAATAATTGCAAAAACCATGTTAAGGTGGGCGAATGTTTTGTATTCATATGTACGAATGCTTATTCAGTTAGCTTTTTGATTTCCAGTTTCAAGTATCTTCAGATCACTTTGGGAATTTGTTAATCACTGTACGGTATTATGCACATCTTAGTTTTATTTGTTTTCTATTACTACTTTTTCCGTGGTAAACTAATCACTCTCCCAAAGTCACTAAGATTCGCTCAAGTTCGTCCTTACTCTTTACTCTTGCAGTGTTTGTCAATCTTATCAACTAATTATTAGTGGGTTTTGCTTAGCTCTAAATAAGTTACAATCTGTCCGTCATCAAGTTTTAAATTTTGCGCGAAAATTTCAGAGCCGCCATCTTGACTTTAATTCATTGATGCAGTACACTATCCAAGGATCACTGTAATTTTCAGTCTAGTAATCTGAGGGTAGTACCTACTTTTACTTAAACCAGATAACCTCGTAAGTATATTTAATACACTGAGTGCTAAACTTATTGCGAAGTTAGATAGCATTCCTTGATTTTCTTGAATGGAATATGTGGAGCGAAGCTGGAACTTGAAATCTGATTATTGAGAGTCGAATGTTTAAACACCTTTACACGCCCTTCAATAGCTTAACAGCTTGGAATGAATAATTCTAGACCTGATGTAGTTCCAGCTGTGATAAGAATGAGTTGAATAAAATTCCTACTACGTGTTCTAAGTTACTAAATAAAATTTATGTGTGCAGTGATTCTAGCTTCCGCTAAGTATTTATTGATATTTAGTCTTTTTATCAGTCCTTAGTTCGTTGAGAATTCAGTTAATTATTTTTACTTCCCTAATAAGTAAACTATATATATATATATCACAAGTTACTGGCTATTTAATTTATTGGGATTTAAATTTGTTTCATAATATGATGTATGGTTTGTGCATTGAATTGAAATTTTAGTTTGTAAATTATATTATTTTTCTGTCAGATTTCATGGCTAAAAAGTGTTGATATACTTTAAGGTGTCGTTTAAAAAATCTCGATATAAACGTAAATCAAGCAATTTATCTGTTTATAAATTGTTTGTAGAAAATCACCTATGATAGATTCCGCACTAAATGATACAAAGAAATTGGCATTATCATACAGTTAAGAATCGCAAACTGTAGTGAAATTGTTTTGCTTTTTTTACGTAATGAATTAAAATGTAAAAAAATTACTCATGTGTATTATTTATATCTTTTGGCTGACTCACATTTTTGCTATTTAGTTTCATCTCTAAATATACCATTTGTCTTTTCATCTTAAGGCTACTCAACCATTACCTCATATTAGCGCTAACTTGGCTGACGAACGGTTACGTCGACTTGATAGCGACCCTCAGTTGCGGTCATTAATGGATGAGCGTGCTCAGTTACCCGTGAATCCTTACAGGGCTTCAATACTAGAAGCCGTTAGACGGAATAAAGTGACAATTATTCGTGGCGAAACCGGATGTGGCAAGACCACTCAGGTTTGTTTGATCTTATGTAAATTCGTTGCATGTTTACAGTACATATGTGGTAAACGTGAACATATTTGCTCTTTTTATTTATATGTCTATTTATAATTTTAGATTCCTCAGTTCATTTTGGACTCGTATTTAGAATCGGGAATAGGTGCCGAATGTTCTATTCTGGTAACACAACCACGACGTATATCTGCTATAAGCCTTGCCGAACGCATCGCTTATGAGAGAGGCGAAACTGTGGGAACGTCTGTTGGATATTGTGTTCGTTTTGAGACCGTTTATCCTCGTCCGTACGGGTCTATCTTGTTTTGCACTGTTGGGACAATGGCACGCAAAATGGAAGGAGGTCTTCGAGGAGTGTCTCATGTTATTGTTGATGAAATACATGAGAGAGACGTTAATACAGATTTCATGCTCATATTACTGCGCGAAATGATAAGAGCAAACAGAAATCTCCGACTTGTTCTTATGTCTGCTACCATTGACATAACTATGTTCAGCGAATACTTTGGCGATTGTATGGTTTTGGACATCGAGGGTCGTACACACCCTGTTGAGTGTAAGTAAATGCATATTTCTGTTTTATTTTTTAAAAATCTATTGCAGTAATTTGAAACTTTGTATTGTTTATTTAGCCTCAGTTTGTTACTCTTGAAAAGATTACGATTCATTTAACCGGCGAACAGAACGAAAGTCAGCAACACGACAACAGAAAAGCCAAACTATTCACTGCGCCCCAGCCTTACTAACTAGAGGAAGAAGATCAGAATCAGGGAAAAATATATTCAACAAGCAGTCAGTAGTACATAACCAACAAGCATACAACTCAAGCGTATATACACAGTATAAAATGCCCTTGAGAAACGATCCAAAACAGTCTATTAGGAGAGGAAACGAACCAATGACATTTAAGGTCCTTCCAAGTGGAAAATACAATCTCTAGGTAAAAATGAGCACCTTTGGCGGGAAAATGAGAATTTCGGACTTTCAAAATAAAATCACAAAAATAAAACGTTTACGAAGTGATTTCTGAGAATCTGGCATCCTCAAACAGTCACAAACTAAAATTTAAAGGAACAAATGAGGAGGGAAACTACAGCAGTAAAAAAGTTGCGTGGAATTACTTATAAGCTTACTCCTAGCCAAAAAGGGCTGCGATCGTCTTTGGTAATTGTTATCGTGAAATATATTTTCGGGTAGACTACTTGAGTGAAACTTGATCTGTCTGTAGATGGTTAATCAACTACTCAAGTGCAAGAATGAAAGTTCTGCGATCATTCTGAATGTCAACTTTTCTCTTGTGAAGTTAAATATCACCCATTAATTTTCCATTGTCTATGGGTTAACTTAAATAATGATGGAGATAATCACATAGTTTTTTTCGTATGAACTTTTTCCATTTGTTACCAAAAGGTATTGTAAAGTAGTTTAGAAATCCTAGCGACGCAGTTCTGCATTGCACAGAGTTGTTGAAGATGAAGGGCAACTTGTATATATATATATATCATGACTAAAATTACCTACATGTTTTTGCATTAATATTTCTTATATTTCGTTACACAGCTTTCTATTGTAATCATTTTCTCCACGTAGTACTGTGTTATATACAGGTTGTTTATATTTTCACTATCAGATTACTTCCTAGAAGACTGTGTAAAGATGGTTAACTTCGTCCCTCCACCTGCTGATGAGAAAAAACGGAAGCACCGCCAAGAGTTAGAAAATGCGACTGATTACGCTGAAGAAAATTGCAACTTGAAGTGTGATCCTATTTACGGGGAGGCGGTGGTTCGTTCCATGGGCGAAATGATCGAAAAGGAGGTTCCTTTTGAACTTGTGGGTGCGCTTTTGGATAAGATCATAGGTATGAATATTCCCGGCGCTGTTCTTATCTTCCTTCCTGGTTGGAATATCATTAGTCTTTTGCGAAAGTATTTACAGTCTCATTCGAGATATGGAAGTCCCAGCTATGTTATTCTGCCGCTACATTCTCAGATTCCTAGGGAAGACCAACGCCTAGTTTTTCGTTCCACTCCTTCTGGTGTTAGAAAAATTGTGTTGGCAACTAACATAGCTGAATCATCTATCACAATCAATGATGTTGTCTTTGTGATAGATTTCTGCTTATCACGCACGAAGCTTTTCACTGCTCGTAACAATCTGACGTCATATTCTACTTCATGGGCAAGCAAAACAAACCTGGAACAACGGCGAGGCAGAGCTGGTCGAGTTCGTCCAGGATTCGCTTTTCATCTTTGTAGGTAAGTAAGGTGCTTTCCTTATTCTTAAGTTTAATGTAATGATTAGTTCATTCAATGCGTTTATATAGGACTGACATATACTGCGTTTTGCATGGAAGACAATGCGGTTAATATTGTTTATCGAAAATTTGTTTGCTCAAACATTTTTGTTGGTTAACTTTGTAATTTAATTGCAACGTTGCTTTCATTTTTAGTCGTGCTCGCTTTGATCGTTTAGAACAGCATGCTACTCCGGAGATTCTGCGTACTCCGTTACACGAACTGGCATTACTCATAAAGCTTTTGCGTCTTGGTTCTGTTAGAGACTTTTTAATGAAGGCTTTACAACCACCACCACTCGACGCAGTTATTGAAGCAGAACATACATTAAAAGGTAAACTATGTTACTGAGTTGTATATTTATTTTATTGTGATTATTTTTGTAATTTGTTGTCATACATCATATAATATGTTTGTAAAATTTAGCAAACTAATTGCGAAGTATCCTAAGATTGTTTAGTATATTAAACACAAAATCCAACGAATTTTTACGTGATATTTTCATTGTAGTTTACTGACTGTTTGTGAAATGTTTCAAATCTAATGATATGTCAATAAAGAGGATTTATTTCCTCCATTAAAGGATGTTATATTTCTCTCTTACGGTTATAACCCAGCTATTCCTATTGCTTAGTATTCTTGGACACCAAATCACTCGACAAGTCCCCAAATCAGAAAACGGTTGTACAGGAAAGAGATTATATTCCAAATAACAAGGTTAGATGGAGGCAAGAAGCACAATAGGGAAAACGTTAGTATATTCATAGTTTTTCACATGAGAAGATTTCTAGAGTGTTCACTAAGTATTGACTAACGCTTATTGGATCAGCGTGCACCAAAGCAATCGTGCATTGAGCATGCTTTAATGCAGTCTACGTCCCGATACCAAAGGGCTTATTGGTATGGCAAATATATGGGAGTTTTAAATCATCTGCCTGTTATCTTCGTTGAGATTTTTCATAAGATGAACATGTACTCCTACTGAGTAGTTTTGACTTGTACTACTTTGTACATGACCGTTTTTAGCCACCGGTGAATGTTTTCAAACCATTCCTTTTCCAGTGTAAATAACTTTGGTGTGTAGTGGCTAAGTTAAAAATGTACGTTTCGGGCGATTTCTAGTCATAATAACGAAATCAGAAGTAATAATTGTGAAGTTTAGAGACCATAGTTATGTTACTGATACTATCTAACTGCCCAGATCACATATAGTAAAACAGTTATCGAACTTAATACCCTGATAATTGTATATCGTTTGTTAAAGCTGATTTTTTCTGAAAAGAAATGTTACATTTTTTCTCTAATAACAATCAGAGATGAAGGCGTTGGATAAAAATGATGAACTAACTCCTCTGGGATTTATTCTTGCTCGACTTCCAATCGAACCACGTTTGGGGAAAATGTTAATATTTGCTTGTGTCTTTAATCTGGGTGGAGCAGCTGCTGTTCTCACATCTACTGCAAGTCTTGGATGTGATCCATTTTTATTGCCTCCGGATCATAGGAGACTCACAAATCAGCAACGGTCATTTGCAGCTGGCTACTCAAGTGATCATTTGGCTGGTTTGAATGTTTTTCAAGAGTGGACGACTGAACGTACTCGTCGAGGTGATGAGTCAGCAGATTTATTTTGTGATCAACATGGTTTCAATAGCTCTGCGTTAAGAGTTATTGATGATGCTGCAAACCAAGTATGCATACCTAGTATTTCTCTTCGTTTTCTTCCTTGCTTCTTTATAGTCTTGTGAAGTAATTTTTGCATAAATTTGACTTTTCCTATATATATATGACTAGTAATACTACTGATAATACCACTCTGGTGGGGTTCAAACACATGATAAATTGTTTGAAAGTCAAGTGATTTAACCACAAAGCCTTCAATTATTAAAATCGTGGTGACTAATAAACTTAACCTATATGGAAGTCACTTTAAATCTATAATCATATTATAGAAATCTCCAACAGATGTTTTACTTATAAAGAAAATTGGCAACTGTAATTATAGTTCTGTAAGATTTTGCCCTTAGATTTCCATTTTTAAGTTAGCTTTTAGTACAGATTCCGAAATATATCTTCATTAAAGCCTAAACAGTCTTGTATCTTCTTTATTAAAACACATCCCATCTGTTTTTACGGTCCCGAGCAGCAATTTATATATCATTGTTTCTCATTGACAGATTTTTTAGTTTCATGAAATATGGTTTATTATTGTACACTGTAAACGTGATCACCGGAATCACTCACCTGATGTCGGTTCAAATCAGAAGACTCTTAACTTCGCGTAATATTTATACATAAATCAATGAATGGTTCTACAGTAAATAATAGTTTACTTGGGTTACAACCTCATATTCATCTGAAAAACTCAATAACAACAGTCAACTCAGTGCAGAAAAGTAAAAAAACTAGTTCAATAAATCAAACATAATAAATGTATCAACCAATAAGAGAACAGTCAGTTTACAAGTAGTAATTGACCTAAATAAAAGAAACTATACAATTAGAAACTCGATACTCATAAATGAAACAGTTACAAATGGATCTGTTAGTTGTGTTAATTTTGATAATAGCTCATTGTGGAACTAACAGTCTGGTCTTCTTCGATAACTGTAGACCAGAAACAAAAGCCTGCATCATGATCACATTGAGTCAGAGTAATATGTTTATTTAAAGTAAAATCTAATTGGATACTCGTTTGGTTTTAGCTAAAGCTAATGATATGCAATAATGTATTCTTTCTTACAGAAAAATTGCAATAAACAACTAGACCACCAAGAAGCAGCTGTCTATTCATTTGTATTGCTAAATAAGTGCAATAAAAAATCCAACTTAGTTGACAGTCTATGCTATTTACATAACCAGTTTTAACAAATAACTGTGTGATTGAAATTTTCACCCATCTTATTGCTAATTCAGCATTATGAGTTTCGTTTTGATACTCTCAGGCTGTTCAAAGCGTAATAGAAATAAAAATTAACAATGAATGTAAACAACTTGTAATCCATTGTGTTATATTTCCGTTGTAAGGATGTTAGCGTTTTCCTTTCGCCTACGTAAAGTCTCCATTATGATTGAACATAAGTTGAAAAACTGCTAAAGATCAAAGAGCACTGAAAACCTGTTCTATCCTAGCTTCGGATAGTACTATACAATTGCGATCCCACAGGTCTTAGTGTTACTACTATTAAGTATTCGACCAATTGTGTGTCAGTAAGATAGATCCGTGGAATTTTGACATAATTAAGGTTAAGCCTACTTGGTATATCCCAATCGTTTACAAAGTCAATGATTACTTAACCCGTATCGCATCATAGCTTTTTTACTGCAATTATTTTCACATAACTTGGTTTGTTTTGACGATTTTTATCAAGTTGACTGATCTTATTGTTTGCTTTCTAATCTCGATTGGTTATGATAAATTTCAAACCTTCTTGGTAAGTGTTATCTGATTCCAACCATATTGTGTCTTTAATAGCTCCTAGATAAGATGCATAAAACTTTATATAATAGTTAATTTTTGTTCTGCATTTATCGATGCTTTGTAAACTAATTAGTACTGTTATTCATTCTTCAGATTGTTTTATATACGCTGTTATGTGCATGACTTCATGACATTTGATTTTATTTTATTTCTATCATTTTTTAGCTTAGAGCTATTCTCATTAACTTGGGTTTCCCAGAAGAGTCACTGTCGGATGCACCGGTTAATTTTAATTTGAAACACAATATCGATTGCGATATACTTAGTACTTTACTTGTGTCTGGATTGTATCCAAATATCTGTTTTCATTCAGATAAACGCAAATTACTAACAACTGAAGGTACTTTAGCACTTATACACAAAAGTTCTGTCAATTGCATGAAGGATATCAAGTTCACTCATCCATTTTTTGTTTTCGATGAAAAAGTAAGTGTTGTCAAATGTTAAAAAATAATTCAACAGGTTTTTAATGGAATAATTATATATTAAGATAACGAAAAACCGTTCGTTATTTATTTACTCGATTAAGAATTATACTTTTGAAGAACTGCTGTATTTTTATGTACAGAAGTAAACATTTATCTACTTATTATAAAGTTGCATGACGATATTATGATAGAAGTGTATTATGCTTTCATATTTTAGATTCGTACTCAGGCCGTTTCGTGTAAAGGTCTTTCAATGGTGAATCCAATTCAGCTAATGCTTTTTGGCTGCCGCTCTGCTATCTGGAAATCTGATGATTCTAATGATAAAGGAATAGTCGTTATTGATGATTGGATTCCTTTCCGTATGAGCTTCATGACTGCTGCCCGAATTTTCGCCTTTCGTCCAGCATTGGAGGCATTACTTGTCCGTACTTGCCTACGACCAGAAGGTGTTGCCGATCTTCGAGAAGAAGATCAGCATGTTATTAATGTGTTGCGTCAACTATGTTCGCCAGAAGCATTAAAACCAAATGCTAGTTTTGATGAGGCAAATAACTTCGATTCTCCGCCGAGAAAACGGTTCGCTACATCCAGTAATTGTCCGTTACTCTCGGGTCGGTCGCATCGAAATAAAGGGTATGAAAATTCATACTCGGAAAAACAAGGTTTTGGACGCTATACTAATTGTCCTAATCGTCCTACTGACCCAGAACAGGTGCATGATATTCAATGTGGTCTTTGGCAAGACCCTCAGCCGCAATTTTCAAATCCGCGATATGATCACGTACCTGTTAACCGATTTTCTGGGAACTACATGGGTGCAAGATCGTTTGGTCCTAGTGGTGTAGGAAATAATTTTAATGGATCATCATGGAATTCATATGGCGCACCAACTTTTGGTGGGTATCCATATCAACAACAACAGTTTACAAACGATCGGTTTGTGCAGTCTAATCAAAGACCATCAATTAGACCTCATTGGGGTGTCCGTTACTAATTTTTAGTTGCATAACTTACTTTTACAAAGCGGTTTTAACTGTATTTAAGTGTTTTCAAGTTAGATCCATCTTTACTACGTTTTACTTATTTGTGATTATTTTGAATTCATTTATATATTTGTTACATCAATATTCCGTTCTATGTAATCTATAAAATGTGTTTCTTGTTGACTTCTTTTCCATTGACTAGCTTCATTGTTTTGGGGTTTGAACCTTTGTTTTCATGCACCGTTATGTTGTTACTATTTTGGTTGCAATGATAAAGTCGTTCTAACTTCTCTATTTATATCTTTGACCCATTACTTAGGAACAAAAAACTAGGATTCGCTCTTCCATGTTCATTTTACTTATGAAAATTCGTTCCATGTTTCATAATAACAATTCATTTCACATAACATATCAGTTTGATTAATATAATGTCTAAAGAATTACCCTTAATAATCATCCAACGCTTAACTAGGTTTGGGAAAACTAGGCTAGTTTCAGGTCTGGGTATGGATATATAGACCAAATATTCATCCTTCACAATACCCTAAAACATATATGCCTACCGACTCCCAACCACCCATGTTTCTCAACCTTGAGTCTGCAGTCTACTCCATAGACCAACTGTCGTAGAAGGGTCTACCAAATAGTAAATTAACGTTGTACAGGCTCTCTAACATTGCTAATCGAGTCAGAGCTTATATCTAATTGTCATCGGAATTGATGACTACAAGTGATGATCATTGGAGTTGTCCGCCTTCCCCATTTTTATGAGCAAGTCGTTTGACGGAGTAGAGGGACTTTATCGATTGAGATGGTCCACCGATTATCTCAACGGGCAGTGATTTCGTGTAGAAGTTGGAAGAAAGCTAGGGATGCAGATATAGCTAGATGATAAAAATTGTATCTTGTTGCCAAAGTATAATACTACTATACGATAATTTGAAGGGTGATTAAAATTTAGGCTGGATACTCAATAGGTTCTATATACAGTCCGGGTCGTGTTATACTGGCTATGCAATTCACGACTATAACAGAGATCTAGGGAATAGTCTGAGCAGTACTTAATTCAATGGGATTGCAAGCAGTCCGCACTTAGTGAGTTTAAAGATGAAGTAAAATAGTAAGATGTATTTGTCAGTTAACACTCAGTGAATAATCACGTTTTCAGTGGCCACAGACAGCTGAACGCTAACTCGAAATCCAAGTGAAGTTCTCCATAATCAAGTGTAAGAAATGGCCAAATAAGTGGTGTTTCGATGAGACCACATGAATTCATCATTCCGAAGAGCAGTTTATCACCAGAGTATTCGTCATAGTTTTTGATCAATTCGTCAGTCTACTATTATGTGAGACTGCGGTTTCTCATTTGGTTGATAACTAATCCTCCATTTTTCACTAGATACCTTACATCACTATCACTTGAAAATTTTCAGATTCTAGTTTCGTTCTTACCTGGAGTTTTGCACTCCCTATACACAATTTTGTATCGAAATATGATTTACTTCTGCGTATCGTTAAAATGATTAGACACATCTCAGATTGCTCATTATCGTTAGGCAGTTTACATCGCATGAAAAACATGGGAATGAAGAAATCAACAATTGACTTAACAGAGCCTATTCATTAAGTGATAACTATTTAGTATGTGGATTCTCCGAGTTCTTATCGGGGAATGGGATTTTGTGCAAAACAGCCATTGGTTAGCATTCGATAATAATCAATTTATACTCCAAAAGCGGTTAAATTTGGAATGTGGAGTTGTGGTTTCTCATTGCTGAGTAATTTTTCTACTCTAAGATCTAAAACTATCCATTCCATACTGAGATGTTAAACTACAATGAAGGTTATCGTCGAAAAGACAAAATCCAATTTTTTGTTGTATTGGAAAATTTATTCTAAATTCTATCATATTTCAGTTGACATTCATTAATAATGAAGGTAGTTAAAAGATAAATAATAAAGCTTGAAATTTCACGTATGAATGATCCAGTATCAATAAGGTGAGATTTATAAAATAGAAATATGTATTCATAAAATTGTTTATAGGGTTTGCGGTGCATTTACTTAGTTTGGTGTCTTCACCTTCGATTCATCTTTACAGTTCTGCTGGTACTGTGAAAAATAAGAACGAGGGAAATCATCTAGATAAAAATATTTTAGAGATTTACGGTGTACTATAATAAGTTTTTGTAAATGTTATGATTTGCTTGAGTACTGTTACTGATTAGCTTCCATCAAATTTGAACTGACAGAACTGGGTTAAAGGAAATATTATATAGAACTCTGGATTATAGACTTGAATGAGAATGCTTATAATTATTCTGTGCTCGTAGGTATTAAGTATGAGTGGGGATCTCAACTAAATGACATCACTAAATTATTTAACCATATACCGCCCAAATTTGCATCTAACGTAACATTCAATTTTGAAACAGACGATTTTTCTCATTTATAAATTTGAATGAAGCTAGGACACAATGTGAATTCATTCATTTTGTGGATTATCTTCAACTACCCACAACCTAGAAATAGTACTGTTAGCTATTTCAGAAAAGTGTACATACTTTATGCCGTAAAACCAAAAAAGCTATCATCCTGACGGTTTTCACTTTAAAGGTATCCTTCAATTTATGAACAACTATCATTTGCCAAAAATATTCTAAATGTCTCCTTTACCATCGGACAGATTTGTCAAACGGAGAATTAACGATTGACAATACTGGTCGAATAAGAAAACTAGGTTTGTGTATTTTTGGTAAGATACACAAATAATGTCATGTCGATCTTCTAAGTTTCAGTTCAGTGTATTTGTTGTCGATTTGTTTCATTCTCATGAACTCTGTATTCTATTGCTTAAGTCATCTTTTTTCGTACTCTCAACTAGGAACCCTAGTGAATCATCTTATAATCAATCCTTTTTGTGATTATTACCGCGTAACTTTTAACATCAAATTTTTAGTAACAGAATATTCACATTATTTTACACAGAAATGTCCAACTATATGAACATTTATTCTTCTATAGTTATTCCTCTTTTTATTGTGCTTCATTGACAAGAACCTGACGTGTGGGTGAGGAAAATAATGATTGGTTATTTGCTTAGACTAGTAGATAGTCTGATAGGTATTAAATGAATTATATATTGTCTGACTCATTCTTACTCGTTTTGTTGTCGGTTCTTGGAATGGATATATGCTTACGTTCTAGTAAGGCTAGTCACGTGTTCCTGATTCGAGTTGTGTTGAATCCCTATAGAATAGACACTACAAGGGTATCTGGTGTAGATATTCATCTAAGGTAAATTAACGTCCTTTTAGTGTATACGGAAAAACGGTATGTTATAACAGAACCTGATTAATATAATATGTACGCCACTTTAAAATAAATAATACCATTATTTATAGGTTGTAAATAGTTGGCCCTTAAATGCTCTGATACTACCGAGAGTGGGGAGAGTCAGCTCTCCCTTTCGAAATGCTCTCACATGACCACATAAATACAACCAATACCAGGGAAGTCCTACTCACTGCCTTCTCGCAATGGGGGTGCTGTTTACGAAGTTGGGAGGACGAAAAGTGAATGTCCGGTGCTTTAACCGGCTTGGTGTTTGAAGTGAATCCATCTAGGGGAGTTGGAAAACCCGGATTCCAAACCAATCGTGCACATGGGCCATACGATCCGAAAGGGAACAAATGGTGTATGAACCTATTGTTGGTCACCAGCTGTCATGGGCTACACTGCCTTGTGGATCAGACCATTAGGTCGAAGGCTCCGTGTGGGGCCCCCTATGTAAACCACTTACTTCAGTTTGGTCACCCCGGTAGTATCTCAGCCTTCACACAAATGGAATGGTTTATGTGGCGCATATATGTTTGGTGCCTTGTACCGATGTTTATGCGTTGAAATAAATAACTAAATAGTTGAAGAGAATCCACCACACAAATCAGTTCACATTATTTTACCACAGATGTTATTCTTTGTAGTGACTTGAACCAAGACTAATTTGTCAAGGCAATTTAGTAACTTGTTTAACTACTGATTTCTGCGACTGGTAAAAATGTTTACTATGGATGAAGGGTAAGTTCTATCTGCTATTTACCGCAACGGAACGAGACTGCTTTGTCGATGCGATAAAGAAAACAAGACGATAGAGGACTGGTTTATTCACCAACCACCGGTCACTTTGAATTTTTTTTGGTTAGTCAATAATTTTGGATATGCTGAACTGGTAGTAATCAATAATCTAATTTGTGTATAGAATCCGCAAAATTAATAAACTAACTTGACTGAGAAATATAATTCATCACCGAACAGTGTTTTTCTATTCCCAATATTCTTACTTTACTCGAATGTGAAAGATTGCATGACCTAATGTTATTCTGTCTAGTTCTACTTGGTAAATTACCATTCTTCATCAAATTGAATTCATTTCTATGTCTAATTCACCTATACATATGAACTGGACTATAGGTCCTAACAAATATTGTGAATTCCCTTGAAATGAAACAAATTGTAACTCTACTAGAAAAGTGAAGCAATTTATAAATGTATATAGTCGATAATTTTAATAAAACTGGGGGACTTATTATTAAATTCAAATCAGTTCAGATATGAAAAAACATATATGTACATATATATAGTCTAGATTGACTAAATTATCAAGACTAAATTGATGATTGTTGTTGTTAGAATCCAGCCTAGGACAGAGCTCGAACCAAGGGGATTTTATACAAAGGAAATATTTTGTTTTACTAAGGAAGCTAAACCTCGATTTAAATACAATCATGAATATTGATAACTGGTCAAGACAAACATTGAGAAATAGTAACATTCGATTCATTTAGTATTTTCACAACTACTCATCAACTCTGTATATATCCTATAGTCTTTCTACTGAATCAATTAAATTCCAACTAAAAACTATAATAATTTTTAAACATACCATAATCGCTAAGGTGAATTACTTTGAACGTTTGATTGACATTTCGATATGCTTGCATATCAACATGACAAGTTAACAATTGCCAATGATGTGTATTTGTTAATTTAATGTTGGCTGTTGCAGTTGAAGTGATTAAACCTGTTATAATGTAAAATTAGAAATAATTTCTTTAAAGATCATACTTATAATCTGAATATTTCTGGACTATTGTTGGTTTACTTTTCAACCAAAACTCTCATTAAGAGATACGAAGACAAATAGACGGGGAGAAAGTAGTTCTTACTTTTAAATCGAGCCAACAAAATGAATGTTATTGGTATCACTTGCTTATTATTATTGTTACTATTATTAAAAAATAGAACATAGTGTATGAACCTATGTTGTTCTATACAACAATTAGTCAGTTTACTGCATCCACACTTGACCTCCAACGGTTGTACAATTAAGTACATTGATTATTTGTCAAACAATATTTACCAAAATTTTAAAAAAAACACCTT